TTTAACTCCATGCCACGTTGTCTCACTTATTTCAGTTTTGATAACATTTTCCTTCACTTAATGAAGTTGCTTTTCTACCATTTCTAACTCTGAAGCAAAAAACTCTACTTACTTTTGAACTATGATATGATAAAAACATCTTTTCATTTATTTTAATCAGCTATAAAGAAACAATCCTACATCAAATACAAATCTGAATTTCTATTTCCTATAATACGAACTAAATGCTTGTCATGGCCCTAGATATAATTAGGAGCCACTTGCACAGAACATCAATGTGCACGTGTATCTCGAACAGTAATGTTATCTGCTACTGAAATCTATTTTTCTTTTTAGTTCCATATTCATCTAACCTGGTTCTTTATTTTGCTTTTATTGTCATGCATAACATACCTAAAACAATGTTACTTCCTCATGGCAGAGATCATTATTTACTTGTTCTACTATTCTATTTTATTTCTATTTTAACCAGCCATTCTGGAGAAAAATACCAACAAAACCAAGCAAAACTCATGCTTGTTTAATTAAGGACCTAAAGGACAGTTCTCACAAGCACATAAAGCCACCTGGAAGGATCCAAAATTGTTTTTTCTGTCCTAAATTCACCCCTTTTCACATCATGTTTAGTCCAATAAAAGGTTGTTTTGTGCAAAATGGCCTGTAAAGCAGCAGTGTCAATGGAACCAAGTTATGTTGACAACTTAGGTAGGCATATATTATCTGGTGAATAATTCAAGTACGTTAAGCACCTTCAATTTTATTTCCCACTCTGATGAGGGGCATTTTAATAAACCTACATTCAGTATTATTATTATCAATCGTGAATTTACACTGCGATCAATATCACCACCCCYAGTGAAAACTGAAGCTGAGCACATATTTCATGCTGTACCTCAGCTGTCTTTAAACTCTTACCCCATCCTTTCTTCATAGACGTCACCCTCCTTTCCTGTCCTCCAAAATAATTCACGGTTCCATATAGAATTGTACTTAAGTAGCGGTTTGGTGATATTTGTTTTCTATATCCTACTTATAAACTTCACTGTGAAATGGATTTTATATTTACAGTAAGAAAACATCAAAGTCATTTTGGAAGCTAATGTATCCACTTCATCAYCAATTCCTGTGCAGTGTATAAATTATACTGTCTTTGCTCACAGCTACATGCATTTACTCCTGAGCCTCAATGAAAACCATTACAGCACTTAGAAAACCAACCGTTCACTGTAAATCACAGTGATTAGATTTAGGCACGCAACCAGCGACAGGAGGAAGGGCTGTACAAGCACAGCTATGTGTGCCTATACACATAATTTCCAAGGAAAACTGTCCAGAATTTTGACCTTTAAAAAAATCTGAAAGGTCTTAGCATTTCTGAACTTTATTTGCTAATTTAGTAATGAGGTTTGTGTTACTCATTTTATTGTTATTTACATTTGTAAATTCTAATGGCAGTTACAGACAAAAAAAAGTAAAAAATATAAAACTGAATTATAAAAAACTCAGAAGGAATTCCAAAAAAAAAAAAAGTTGAAATAAGAGTACACCATACTTAGTAAATTTTATTACAAGCGTAGAAGTGCTTCTTGRCTTACATTAAATTCCTTCTTCAATTGCTACAGGCAGGCTATTAACAAGGGAAAGAAAATCAATTCTGTAACAGAAGCCAGTAAGCTAAATGAATACAGGCTACCTCTCAAAAACCCTTGAAATTTTATATATGTTGTTGCTTTGATTATTTTAGCTTTAAACATAAACAGTCCTCTCTCCTATATACAAATATAATGTAAACATAATTTTCTTTTTTATTTTGGCACAGAAACTAACACAAGGTGTCAAAGTTAGTTTTACCCAGAAAAAAAAAGTGCTGGGAAAAAAAAAAACACAGAATATATACTAAAACATACTGAAGTCTAATGCAGCATGTTTCTTACAGCAAAAATAAATTCATTTCTTTCCAACACATTTGGACATTTAAAATGTCCATTTAACATCATATCTAACTTGATTATAACAGCAATTATTCTATGCTATGGAAACATATAAGGTAGGAATTACTTAATGATGAATTTTTGTGTGTACGTGCTGTTACTCTTAAATACAACCTGATTTTGTCAGGGAGTGCTTTACTGTTAAGGTTGGAATTAGAATTGACCCTCCCAATAACAGAGGCAGATATTTTTGGACCTTTAGTTTACTCTAGAGAGGAAAAGAAATAACGAGTACAATAGTTATTTTGTCTTGATTGTTATACTATTTTCCCCTGAGCCTTCCTAACCATGTGAATCCCTCTTCCCTCCCTAATAGCTGACAGCTGATAATCTCTGACAGCATAGGTAAGAAACTACTGAGGTACAATGTGATGATATTTCCTGCACAAAGGCAACAGAATCTGCTTTAAAACTGGGATAAAATTTYGATACTAACTCAAGTTGAGATCAGACTCAAAGTCTGACAGTTATAGAGAGGTATAGGTGCATGAAGGCAGCTATCAGAAGGCCAAAATTCTATTGCTGTCCTTAGGGAGAGAGAAAAACATCTGGTTACTGATAGTGATAGAATATATAGATATATTGACTACACTGATTATACTGATAATGAGAGAAATTCCTTACCATAAATGAGTTTTCTGAGTCTGAAGAACATGTTGTTACTTTTGCTATTAGTGTTTGCATATCTGCCAGGAGCCCGGTCTTTATAATACTCACTGTTTCAGGGACCACTGACCATTATTTGAGGTGCTGGTTGCAATTCAGTTCCTGCTTTTCAATAAGTATTACAGTCTTCAAATTCCATTACCAGTGGAGTCTGAATTAAACCTACTCTCAAAATACACCAAAAATAAGTAGGAGCAAGTGATGGGGCTTTGCTATGTAATCCATTCAGAATTGAGCTGATTGAGCAGCTACCTGTATGCCTGATGTTACCATCACGTGTGGAAGAGGGGCGCTCACTAATGCAAAAACTAGAGTATAAATCTATGACGAGAACAGGACTTCCATCCGAAATGGTTAATATTTGCTTCTATTTTAGTTTTGGCAAGTCCATGCTACTCAGTGCTGAACAACTTGTGCTCTGAGGTCATTAGATTTACCAGGGTCAGGTCACTGAGTAGTTACTGATTTCAAAGTCAAGAAAGACTGCACTTCAAAAGAGAGTATGTTGTGTAAGAACTACCAAGAATTTATTATGACTTAGAAAAACAGTATGCAAAATTGCTAAATAGGAAGCGTGCAAAATAAAAGCACTTGAGGAAGCAATTGTGAGCATTGACCAAACAAAAATAACTTGTGTGGATGTGGATTTTTTCTTATGCAACTGAAAAGCCTGAAGATAACTAAATGCAAAAATTGAGGTAATATGTATGACTTTGACAGAAAAAGGAAGTGTCTTCTATAATGAGAACTGCAAATCCTTCTACCACAGAAAAGGACATGGTAATGATCAGCAACTGCAGCACCACACCTTCCCAGCAAAAGACATGAGTAATCTCAGCTCTAGTTCCAGAATAACAGCAGGTATAAAAGGAGAGTGGTGAAGTACATATGAACAACACAACTTGAATATCAGTTACAAGGCTGGTGAAGTAACTATTTCTGCTTCCTCAGGAACCCATCCATCATATATTCTATTCTTGATAAGTCACAATGAAGAACGTGAAGATAGGAGRCTGGTACTCAGAATGAATTTGAATTATGTAAGACATCTGCTGAAATGAATATACAGTCCTTTACTAAAGTACTGAGTAAAGGCATGTATCAGATTCAGTTCTACTATCTTGCTTATTGCTAAGAATAGAATACCTCCCAAGGAAGCAGCAATTTCCTTAACTTCAACAGGATTAAATGAATCCTGAAGTGGCAAGTTGATAAAAAATATTGCTGGTTTTTAACCAACATGATCTGACCAACATAATGCAAGTACAGTAGTGAAAAGGACTACAGTTGAGTTTCTGAGCATTTATGCATAACCCAGCATTCTGGCAGCCAAACTTTGCATTAGAATATAAAACTGTCTAATCATCATAGAAMGGCAAATGTGGCTAATCTTGGAAATGTAATTTTAGCATAGTCTAGAGAGTGTTCAAAGATCATCTAAAGGAATTCCTTACTCTGAACCAGAACACAACTCTGCCATCACTAGCTTGAACCTCCTAAAGAGTCTTTTCATCAGCTTAACAATAACATGATTTTTGTAAGGATTATAATCTTTTATCTGGAAGGTCTYTGATATGATAATAGATTGATTTCAATCACCTTTGCTGATTATGAAGATGAGATACGGCATTCTAAGATACACGGCTGTAGATTATAGATACTAGAACTGTGAGTGTACTTAGGGCTGCCCTTGGCAACTCTCCTTTGGATAGGGACAACCATGACTTCCCTCTCTTTGAGTCCTGGGAAGGCCTTTTAAAATCTCTTCTATATTCAGAATCATAAAGTTAGCATAAACAAAAAAAGACTTCGTATTTTCTCTGAGAAAGTTTCCTACTCYATTTAGCATATCTATTATCAGTGAATTCAATGCGAGATTTTTAGATATAATGTCAGATACTTGCTTGGAATAGAAAGAATCACTATGTGTAAAACTTAAGAGTTAAATAGTAAACTTGTGTTTATTACCATCCTAAATATTACCATCCTAAAACGTAGTTTTATGTGATGTGTCTATAGATAAACATATCTATATGTCTATATATAGATAAACATAATATATGACTATAAATGTGTGTTCAATAATTTTAACTTCAGACATAAAAAGGGGGAACAAAAGTCTGATTCATTTTAGTAAGGAATTGAACAGCCCCAAATGACAAAAACACAAGCAATGCAATATAGTGTTTATATATAGAAATATATCATACAAAAAACAGTTACTTGACTGCTTTCTGTATGAGTGAAAACTTTCATTTCAATATAAATGAAACTTTCACTTCAATATTAAGCTAAAATACCAACATCTTCAGCAGCATAAAATGCTCACGTGGTCATACTAACCTGGATTTTAATGGGCCAGGAAAAATTGCTGACATAGACATAGAAAGTGATGTTTGGGTTGCTCCGAAAGTTAAATTTTTCACAGGAAAAGCTATCTCTGTATTCCTTAATATTAGTCTTAGAAACAACAGGAATTTCTTCTCCAGATATTGTTCCAGCTAAAAAAAAAAAAATACATATACATACACATATATTTTCTCATTTATGATCAATAATCACAAAAGATGTCAAAGTAAATTTGCATGTGAAACTTAGATTCAGAAGCTATATTAATATGTATTTAAGTTTGCATGATATATTAAATATATTTCATATTCCTACAGAGAATCAGCAAAGACTTTTCCTCTGATTTCAAAAGTTTAGGATTATCCCAGTTAGCTAAACAAATAGTATGGTTTTCTCTAGTAATTTCAATTACACTCGATTTCAGTACAAAATCTGTCGATCTCTTAAATTACTGTTAGAGTGTCTTAACTGTTCTTGAAAGCTTCTATACCATATCTGCTAATACACATGTATCATTTTTTTGCAAATGTACTGATGACTTTGTGCTTATTTTAAATCAATAGAATTTTCTAACTGTGGTATATCAAAAAGCTTAAAATAGATATTTATGCAAGACAACCTTTTTTAAAAAAATGGGATTTTTTTTTTTTTTTTAAGTACAATTTCAATATAGGCATCATTTTTCTCCTTGGATGTATTTTCAGAAAGTCAACAGAACTCATTCAGAGAAACTTTCTAAGKAAAGCAACAGCTTTCCTTCCTTTCTATTAAAACAAAAAAGAGTAATGGGGTTCAAAGTTGGGGAAAAATAGATAAGCAGCTCCTTTTATCAGCATACACAGAAGAACTTCATTGTTTGATATCAATGTTAAGGTTAATAATTAAATTTTTAGCTTGAACACTGAAACAAAGAAATTAAAATCTCAGTCTCTCCAGTAGTTAAGSAAGCAATTTATCTTAATTAAAATCAGAGCATTTCATAACGCTGTCATTTTAAAAATTTAAATAGAGTACAAGGTTTTCCTACCAAAGTAATTTTTAATTGAATAGGAGTGAAAGTTAACATATTAATGAAGCTTTCTTCTGATTGCAAATTATCATCTGAGGTTTAAATAATATAATTAATAAGGCATAATGATAATAGGAAAAGAATATATTTTATAAAGTTTTATTATCAAAATTAGCAACAAAGAGATAATCATGTTAAAACAGCTTGATGGATCATGAGATCAKATAGGAAAAGACATCGCACCAAAATGTGACCTTACCTGTAGAACCAATAGACCATGTAATATTGAGGTTAAAGTTGTTTGATGCATTAATTGATATATCCAAATTTTTATTTGACTGGATAAAACAGAAAAAAAAGGTTAAAAAAATCTATCAGAATGTACTAAATATAGTTCATAATATATTAATATTATAGCTGTAGTGGACATCATACAGCTTCATAATCTTCTTCTTTATTTTCTATTGTACCAGAAATACAAAATATAATATTCTGGTCTACAGAAGCAAAAACCACCCTCTCTTTTGCTGCCATAAAGACTGGGGACATATAACTACAGAGGTTATCTTTTCAGAATATGATTCAAGTAATGAAATCACTTGCTTTATAAAATTAAAGAGAGAAAAATGCATAACATAAGGATATGTGTTAATTAAATGACCTTTCTCACTCTGGTAATAAAGATTTGTTAACTGAAGGTTATTCTTCTTTAATTAATCTCCAGAAGTTACTAAAATTTATTATTCATAGGAACAATAAAAAAATAAAATAAAGCAGCTGATATATTTCAGGGACACTTGTTGGTTCACGCACTACCTAGCAATATAAGAAAAAAAGTTTTCTCACTGGATGCATTGGAATACTTTCCAATGTTTCCAAATTTGCWACAACACTAACCTATTATAGGCACTTGACAAACATTAAAAATACAATGCAAATCTTCATTATTGCTCTGCAAAATTTATCCAAAATTAATCACATTTTCTTACCTGTTCAGGATTTGCTATAAAGTTTATAGCAGTGTGATGGCGATCATCCTCTTGTAATAAGCTGAAGGTAAACTGATAATCAATCAAAAGGCTGTCTGTGGGCAGAATGTAAAAATACCAAAAATTCAAGTGCATATGTATTAAAAAAAAATCTTACGTAAGCTTCTAAAATGTATACTTTCAATTTAAAAAGCACTATGTAATCTAGAGCAGTTTATATGCATTTTCACAAATATAAAAAATAATTAGCACATTTTTCACAAAGCACATATACACAACTTAAACTAGCTGTTCATCTTTAAGTAATTATCCYAAAATAATGTGTCAATTACATTTGGAGCATTACTAGTTCCTTAATTTTTATGATGAAATAATTATTCAATTCCTCCCAGAATGCACATAAAGGTTTTAAGATTACTGTAAACTATTTTACTGTGTTGTATAAATGGTTTACTTAGCTATACTGCTATGATAGAGTTTAGTATGCCTGGATTTTATACTTTTGAAAAAAAAAATGTATCTACTGTAAAAGAATATAGAATGAAGGCCTGATGTTGCTAAAGGAGCACAATGAAATTTTGAAGAGAAATTATTTGCCTATCAAGTGTTTCCTTTCCAAACTGCCAGAATTCTAAAAATATTTTCTAAGTGGCAAATGATGCAGATTTCCATASAAAAGAAATAAACAGCAATGTCATTTGTTCTACAAATTTGCATTCAATCTCTTGACTCTTAAAGGAATGAAGTCTGCCGAACAGCTCCTATTCACCCCGTTTATGTCACTCTGAGRGGTATCCAGGGTGGCTGAGGTGCAGAGACTCCACCCTCCAGGTCATGCTCATCCTCTTTCAGTAGATAAGTTGAGTGGGAAAAGTAGAAAGAAATAGGTTTTGAGTTAACCCACTGTSTTACTGAATTTGGACGAATCAAAATGAGCCTTAGCTCGGTCATAGCAGCAGTAATTACCAGAAAAGGAATTTTTCTGGGAGGCTGGAATTAGCAGTGTGAAGCAGGCTTCCATCACATCCACAACGTCAGAAAAAATAAAAAACAGTCACCAGTAATGACTGTTGTTGAAGTTTGGATGCAATTCGCACAAATCACCGAGGACCCATGGAGAATCCCAGGGGAAATATCCAGTGCAATCAGATAGTCCAGATTCAGCAAAACCCTCAGAGATATAAATCGTGATAGGAGATGAGCAGTCCTTGTGCAATGGTCTGTTAGCAATCCACGGTGGGAGGTTTGCACGTGCTCTGCACAGAGGCAAGTATCTGCAGAACTAGCACAACAACTTTTCCACCTCTTTGACCAATATGGTTCTTAAAGGGACCAAAAGATTCTGGCATTTCTTTATAATGGTCGATAAGCAGGAGCCTGGCATACTCTACGTGGTGTTAAAATAGTTACACCCACATCACCTTTGACTCAATGGCCTAACTTCGAAGCCCCATTTTAATTCCTCTCCTAATAACCTACTTACTAGTCACCAACCCCAGGAGATCAGAGCCTTACAAATAAAAAGATGTGGTCCTAAGCAACAAAATTAGTAAACACAAAACACATAGAAGATTGAGTCAAGGCAGGAAAAAGCTGAGTCAGCTTTCTGTTGGACTCAGCGGACTGCTTACTGCTGGCAATCACCTTTTCTGCAGCATTACATCTGAAAACATTACCTTCTTTATTATAACCCATGAAAAGCCTGACCTAGCAGGGGAAAAAAAGGCTTACTGGTCAATGAAGCACAAACACAGCCCATTGTGTTGTCTTCATAATTAAATAAAATGGTGCTTTTTACCCAGAGTGTGGCAAGAAACTGCAAGAATAAAATGGCTACATGAAAGGAATTTCCACTGCTTTGGAAACTAAAAAGTCTTCTTTCTCTATTATTAACCAACACAGCTTCATTATCCAGGTAAGGAAGGATAAGTTGATCCAACAGATTTCTTAGATAATGAGTTTTGATTGTGTTTCTGCAAGCTAGATGAAAGATCAATAAGCATCCAATTTAAAATAATGATATATTTATTGATATTACGCTAAACTTCCCTAACTGCAAAAATATTTCATACACTCACTGACTCTATTACTATCAGTATGGCTTATCTGCATATTTAACAATGTGATCACCACGTAAAAAAAACAGTTAAAGGTAGCAAGACAGCAAAACATAGCAAGTAGATTTAAAGTCCTATCATAGGGATTAGTAAATCCTTTTATAAACCTGATCAGCATGCCCAAACAGCCAGGCATAATGTATAGATGTCCTGATTTGTTCAGCTTAGGTGATGTATTTCACCCATGAAACACAAATGCCTGATTTATCAGGATTTCTTTCCAAGACAATTATTGTAAATGTACATGTAAATGTATTTACAGTCAGGAATGCTTGGCATTTTACTCCATGTGTTTCTACTGTAAACTTCAATTCAAGCCATCAATAAGCATTTTTACCCGTTATGTATACGATATTTTTCAAAAGTGGTTCTGGTTATAAAGAATATACCACTCGTAAGAAAAGATTGATCCAATYAGGAAAAAACATGAATCACAGATACACCAAAATTAAGAAATCTACTGCATTTATAATGTGGCTATTGAATCAGTTGTACTTATAAAGGTTTTTCTTTTTTTAATTCCACTTATCTTTATAAAAGTTGCATTCTTTGATTTTGCATTTGAAAAATATAAAAACGAAAAACCTTTTAGCTAGACTATGAATCCCACTGTTGTTGAAAACATATTTTCTCAATCTAAATTTAATTTTCAACATGTTTTTTCATTCATGTGTTAATTAGCTATAATGATTTTCTAAAGAGACTAGGCAAACAACAATCTTGAGCACTGCATATGTTTTAACYGAGAGAAAAATTTTAGTGACAGAGGACAACATTAAAGAAGGTGCTTTGCTCTCCTGTTTTGAAAAGTTGACTGAAAATGAGTTTACATGAAACAATTCTTTAACAATTACTTGTCATTCTACATATTGCCAAGTTATTGGAAATATTATGCAGTAGCAAGTCTATTCATTTTAGGTGGTTTCAGTAAATTCTCAATAAATTTCAGTAAATTCAGTAAATTCTCAATATGAAGCATTACATGCTCCAGAGCATTACACGCTCTAAGAGTCTTACATGCTCTAAGAGTTCCTCCTTGAGCAGGAAGGTGGGAGTAGATGATCTCTAGAGGTCCCTTCCAACCTTAAACATTCTGTGATTCTGTGATTTCTTTTTTTTTTTCTCTCTCTCTTTTTTTTTTTTTTTTTTTAACTCTGATCTCAGTGCCCTACCTGCTTACATTTTATCCACTTAAAATATTTTAGACATATATTCTTCAAACATCTATTTTTCAATATTGGTCTTCAAGTAATTTATTTGAATATTTATCTTGAAATATTTATTATTCAAACTATTGCACAGAGTTGCCCTACACCAATGCAATAGCTTGGGAAAGCAAACATGAACCAATATCACATGGGAACAGCAATAGCACCTTCCTGTTTTGGCTGGTACAAATGACTGGAGTGTCTAGTGCAGGGAATGGATCAGATCTGCAGACCAGATGTTTAACTAGTGTCTGATAAAGGACAAAGATGACACACAGGAAAACCAGGCAGAATTTAAATGGCCATGTACTAGAGTGTAATCTATAAACCCCTTGAACTTTTATAGATCTGCATTTTCACCAAAACACTTCTGAGGCCCTAAAACACTCCAATGCAAACTCAAAGAACCAGAAGTTCAGGTTTCAATTCCCAGTGACAAAGTGTATTTTTATTCCAGAGACTGTGKATGCTTGAACCTGAGTCAAATTAGTAAGGGAGGAGCAGCAGAAGGATTCAGATCACGAGGAAAAAAAAATAATTCAAYTTTCACAGTCAGAAAGGGACAAGAGGGAATCAACTGGCATATACTCTTAGCAGAGAAAGGGTAGTCCTACAGTCTTGTTTCTGTTCTAGGGCCTGTTACTGCATTTTGTACTAACAAATTCTTGAATAAAGTAGAAAAATATAAAAGACATTTGGACATATGACCAAATTATTTGATCTCAACGATATCAGTTGTTAAATATAACATGGACTTATAGTTACCAGGTCATTTCATATATTTATTTTGAATTTTTAAAAAATTTTGACGGCTTTCAGAGTTAAAAGAGCCATTAAAATCAATTCCAGAAGTCAGTAATAAGCACATGTGAGAACACAGCAATAATTAGTTGAAGAAAGCCATTTAATTAAATGAGAAAATAAACTTCACAGCATTGATTTAATTCTAGCTTTGCTGTGAATTTCCATGAAACTTTTTTCTTTATTTAATGAAAGTGTGTGACTTTTAATATGGTAAAAAGGAGTTTTGTGCACACAAATAACAAGGAATCACCTATTTTCACAGCTGAACTTTTGTATTAAAATATAAAAAAAAACTTTCATATGTTTCCCAAAACTCAGGAAAGACCCCAGTAGAATAGTGATTAAACAAAAGTCTTCATAGATTTGAAATTCTGCTTTATCATTTCTGAATGTCCCCACAATCCTCTAAAAATATATATAAATAGATCGCCTTACTAATTATTAACAAAAATATTTTCGCAGAAGTACCGTACTGGCTAGTGATATTGTAAACAAAAAAATATATGTTAAAGAGGAATATTAAGTTGAGGCACTACAATCAYGGTTACCCTGTGAATTATACTTGGGTGACTGTTCACTCACAGGCAGCTATTCAATACTGTTGACATTCAGTACTCAGTGCTGGACCTTTGCCTCGTTTACTACTCACCCCACAAACTTTCTAGAGAGAAAATGAATTTTTCATGGGACTTTCTATAGTATTCATCAATGTAATTTTCTGTGCTCTTCAGAAAAGCAAATGAMTTTGTTACAACATTACTATGAGATGAAGAGGCTGTACTAGTCCCATTTTATAGAAAAAGAAATGAAACAAAGAGACCAAGGGTACAAACAACTAGTAGYCGATTTGAAAGACCTAGAGTTTCATTTTTCAAAATACTAGGAAGAAAAGTCTGGAACAAACATTCACACACAAATCTATACCAACCAGCCATTCTCCAAAGGATCCTGTCTCATATTTTCTTA